TATTTGACATGCCATTTGACATGCCATACCCATTAAGTTGCATTGCACTGTGCACCCAGTGCACCCTACTTAATTATATTAGTCTGTCTAAAACTGAGCGCTAGTGCTCAATGGGTTAACACATCAATAATGTCTAACTGTGAACAGTTCACTTCGGGCTCTGCTCTACAGTAAATTTCCCGGCCTGTAATCGGAGCCTGGGATCTGTGACCCAATACGTCTTCAGTGTCTGTATTATGGTATTGGTACTGTCACTATTTTATAATGGACATTTTTCATTTAGAGGCGGCTTACATTTGATCCGAGGGGGATGAGATAATATATGTATGTAGGGGGGCACCGAAATATTTTCTGGCATTATAGGGGGGCTCTGAAAGTTCTCGATATACTGAAAGGGGGGGCTCTAAACTTTTCAAAGTTTTGGTCCAGCAGGGGCCTAGAGTGTTTACTACCACCATAGTTAATAGAATAGATGGTTTGGAAACTCATTAGAATAACATCTATACTATATTAACTAACATGAGGGAGCTCCACATAGAATACGTAAAAGAGGGCAGCAACAGGCCTGTAAAAAGTACATGTAAAAGCACCAATATGCATCAACTTCTGAAATTTTCATTTTGTTTCTACCAAATTGTCCATGAATATAGAACATATCGTTCTTAGAAATCTTTTTGTTTTGTTTTTGGAATTGCTATTTTTGGCGGGTAAATTACGTCACACACGTGGCGCCAAAAAATTAAAAGAATCTATTGGTGATTTTACTGAATCCATTTGTAGAGCAGACCAAGGGTATAGTTAACCCATTGATTTGCATTGCACCTTACTTTATTACTTTACTCTGTCTAACGCCAGACAATTTTACTTGTCAAGGGGACAGTGCTGGTGCTTCAAACATTTGAAATGTTTGCTATTTCTCTGTCGTCATGCAGTCGTTATAATGCAAACTTTAAATTGGACCAATCAGTATCCGCTATTCATGACACTCCGCCATATTTTTGAGATCAGTGAGGATGACCACCACTGAGCCACAGAAATGAAAATAGACCAGTAGCCTCACTGTACATCTTTCTCTAACATTTTCGTGTCCCCGATTTTCGCTGCGCGGATCACGAATTTCGCACGCTAGATGACGTGTGTGACACTTGCTGCGAACATCACGTCAGCGTTCGTCAGCGTCAATTCCTCAAATCAACGGTTTTTCTTGAAAGACATGCTCAAAGTGTACGCTGCATATTCTGCAATTATTGTGCAAATATTTACGCTTTTGTTTTTACGTTGTGTCTTCCTGTTGCGATGACCCATTATTTGGACCTGTGATCGACATTTAAAAACGGTTAATATAGCAATCTTTATTTCCTAGTGATGGCTATTGATGGCGTTACTCGCGTTTGATGGCGTCGTGATTACACTTGCTGATTCGCGCTTGCGCATAAAAAATCTCGGACATAATTTTGGCTGAGTGAGGCTTCTGGTCTATTTTCTATTCTGTGACTGAGCTGTATAATAACTGGAGGACCTGCTCTTATACTTGATTTGATGATTGATAAATTTCTTTCAAATATATTTCATATTTGCTCGCATTTTTGCAAGATTTTGTAAATTTCAAAAGGTTTCTCTGAAGAAAGGGCGACAGAATCGGCTAAAAGAAGGGAGCCGACGTTAACGAAGGTAAGTTTGTTTTAAATATTGATTTTATAATTGCTTTAAAACCCGACTGCCTTTGCGTATATGAAACAACTAAACAAGACAGCATATAATTTCAGTTTATCTTTAATATTGATTCCCTTTTTTAATATATTGAATTTTTTAAATAAAAAAGAAAGCAATAAGTTATTTCCATGCGAGAATTTGAAATCGATATTATTATATTGCAAACTCAAAGTTTATCCATAAAGCCATTTAATTAAAGTAAAGGCAGTTTAGTTTTTTTTATTAAAATAACACTTTGAAGGCGTTTTGGTTGAATTTTACCTTAATTTGAAGCTTATGTAACGTATAATAACATATCTAACATACAAATGTTGGGAAAGTGATAATTTTGTGATTAAAAGTGATAGTTTTAGGCAATTTTTCATTTGTAAGAATATTCTTAAAAAATTATCGTGTTACCATGACAACTACTTTAGATACTTCATGTTCGGAAAATGCAATGGTTTTGTCAGCAAGGCGAGGGTTTCTGCATGCATGTATTTTCTAGTAATATGTTATGACTAAATGACAACTAAAATACAAGTAAAATTTCGTCGAGGTTTCGAGGGAAAGCCCCCATCTTTCAAACATCGAAATTTTACTTTTATTTTTTTAGATGAATGAAACCTTCTTAATCCGCGGCTTCCTGCGTCATTGTTACTACAAACGTTGACGCAGACCGTTCGAGTTTATATCACAGATGTACATATAGTAACAGCAATGCAGCATCTAGTTGGGCTTCGTGAAGAGTATGAAGAGTACTCGGAGAACTTTCACAATTTGTAATAAGGTTATGTCAGTTTATGGTGCAAGTATCAGAATTTTAGACATCTTTTATTATTTCAATTCTAAGAATCAAATATACTGACCAACAGTACATAAGGTCTCATTTTCTTTATACATAATAATTAACATTATATTAAGCATTCAATTCGGTGCTTCATGAGAAAGATTTTACAATCAATGAGCATCTGATTGGCCATTGCGCCAGTTGAAGGATATATTATAGCTGGAATAATTTCCTTGCTGATGGCATCATTGGAATGATTGAAATGTGCGTTTCTTGATGTGAGAGGAAGTGTTGTTGGAAAATGAGTAGTAGAATTAGGTAACTAACGACAACACTAACGACAGCACTTCCTCTCATATCCAGAAACGCGCGCATTTCAATCATTGCAATTAATCCACTATAATAGATTCTCCAACCCCCAATAAAATGGGATCATCAACTGAACAACGAATCGGATATATATATATATATATATATATATATATATATATATATATATATATATATATATATATATATATGTTTAAAGATTTGTAATCCAGGGGCAGATTGTTCAAAAGCCGAATATAGCTTAATCCTAGGTTAACTTAAAATTCAAAGCAAACTTCCTAACAGTTTCTTTATAAATTTGTATATATATATATATATATATATATATATATATATATATATATATATATATATATATATATATATATATATATATATATATATATATAGTTTTTCGTTTTACCTCAAAAAACCACAACAGTCTGTTTCATCCGTATAGGAATCATCCGTATAGGATGATTCCTATACGGATGAAACAGACTGTTGTGGTTTTTTGAGGTAAAACGAAAAACTATATTACGCTCTATCTATATGGTATTGAGCACTGTTTGTGTTTCGCAAACCAAAATCTTAAGCTATATATATATATATATATATATATATATATATATATATATATATATATATATATATATATATATATATATATATATATATATATAGGACTAAAATTTTTGGGAACCACGAAAGTGTATTTTTACTTGTAATGTTATCAAACGTACGAACCCTGCTAACTTTGTTCTTCTAACTTAGCCCGTCCCAAAGGATTTTGCTTGCGGATATTTAATTAAGCCTTTGCTCCATCCAATTCTTGTGTTGGGGTTACATTCATTCTATGCGATGCACTACCATGATCATCATGTTCCGGTCCTTCTAGGATCTGTACACCCATACTTTCCTCAATAGTCTTCCCACCCAATATATCCAACTCTTTATCAAAAAGTTTAGTCAAGAAAAATTCTGCAACAAAATAACGAAATCCGTAATTAGTTATCAACAACATTAAATCCACAACCGACTTCGCTCCAGGTAGTTTTAATTCGTTCGCCTTTGGTTCGGGTTCTGGAATGGTTAAAACTTTGTATGCAGCAGTTGTTGAGCCAATCAAAGCAATCAGAGAGTTCTGAAGGACATACGTTGCCAGAGATGCTTTATATCCCCAACGTTTGAGGCTTGGTTCTCCTCTATTCCAAAATCTGAGAAAAAAATAATGATCAAAGTATTATTCATTTCATACACTGTAAATCTGGGAGTGTTGCCACAACACCAAAATCGGTATAAATTCTTGCCTCTGTGGGGACACCGAAAAGGTGTCAGCTAACACTGATTTTAGTGTTAATTTACACCTTTTCAGTGTAATATGTATTACTCATTAGGAAACTCTCTTGGATATTATGTATTTCTTTCATATTGAAATAATAAATTCCTACATTTAGACCGTTATAACCAAGTTGAATACGTATGACTCTTGGCTAAGCTTCTAATAAAAAAGCGATACATTAACGTTTATCAGCATTTTCCACTACTATAACGCCAGACTATGTTTACACCACGCGAAACTTACGGAAGGGATCCCTCGTTTATGTTAGAAATGTTACAATTATTTTGCCCCATCCGATTTTTTCAATAAATACAGACCGCGAACATATATATTGCGCCGGCGATTTGTATCATGCAGGTTAATTAAGATAACAAAATTCATATTAATTTTAGGTCATATCATGGAATGAAGGGCTTCGCAATATATTGAATGGTAGTAAATTAATGAAAAACAACTGAATCCATTGGGATTAGATACGATGAATAGTACTGACTCATGAGATGAAATAGGGTAGGTAAAGGGAAAATATTTGCATCAAACAGTATATTATATGTTAATTTACAACAATTTTTCACGGATGTGGTTTTGAATAATGCAAGAATATTAGAAAGATATCCTTGCACTATTCAGACACTAAACTAGGTGAATATTTGTTTTACCATACACCATAACAAAACAAATATGACTAATAGACAACAAAACACATTTTAAATTAAAACATTGTGTATTACAGCTTCCGTAATAGTTGTAAACAAAACACTATTTATACAACCTTTTAGTAATCGTATAATACTCCCAACACATCGTTAAACTAATCTTTCTGCTTGGCTTCCTTTGTGTTTAGCGGAACCGTGGCTTGGCTTGGTACAAAAATGTCCTCTTCTGTAACTTCAACAAAACGGAAAGACATTTTGTTTTGGTCCAGAAGTGAATAGTGAAACGATATACGGAGCTGCGCGCAACCAAGCGGATTGCGGGAAAAGCACTATCCACCTGCCGAGTATATGTTAAGAAGAGAAAAGCCAAAAGAAACCAAGCGATATTGCGGCAAAGAAGCTGTACTGATTTTTGTGATAAATGTCGATTATTTTGAGGATTTTAATTAAATGCCGCTTGCGTTGCCAAGAAGAGAGCGATGAGTATTAATAACCACACGATAGAAATAATATCTAATTGCAGACAAGGCTTAACCCAGTTATTTTTCAATAGAAAATGTAAGGTTGGAATATTAATTGATATAAGCCAAAGTTTATCGTTATTGAGCAATGATTACCTTGGTAAGAAATTGATAAGAAACATAAGTACAACAGTCAGAGATTTCTCCACGATGAATGAAACAGAACCAATTGTCTTCAATGTTTGCGGTCTATTCGACATTATATATATATCATACACAACAACGACCAAGAGCACGAAACTGATCTTATAGAAATACTTTTTCCAAATCAAATGACGAATGACTGTTCGAGTCCCGTAAAATGTTGGCGTAAGGTGCACAACGTAGTAAATGAGGAAGAGAGAAACAAGACAACTGTTAAATAACCAGAAAACTTCCAACATCTTCGGAATTGGAAATAGATAAAAATGTTGACAATTTGCAGTCGCGCGAAATTCACGGAAGAAACAATCAACAGCCCTGATGGTGAACAACGTTAATCCAATAAGCTGGCCAAGAAGCATAGCAATGAATAATAACCACTTGGAATTTGAAAAACAATTGCAAAGGCGGTCAAGTCTGTAGATCCTTGACTGGCGGCGACCACCAAATACTGGATCCTGTCAGAAAAAATGACAAATATTAAATTATTTGAATCTATTGAAGCACATAAACTTCGCGCGACTTTACGATTGGGAGGAGATGCTTTGATATGAAGTAAGCCCTCCGCTGGAAATTTTAAAAATTACAAGCTCGGAAAGTGCACATATCATTATATTGCCTAATGATATGCGGATGTATTTTTGTGAAATACATGAGAAGATTCTTGCCCATGATTATCGAATTGTAAAGGATTAGATTAGATTAGAGACATTTTATTCAAGAGGGTAACACTTGACATTAATAAAAATGATAAACCTGTGGCCCTCCATATTTTTCTAATTACAAAAATATACACCCAATGAAATATACTGAATATAGACAGTGCTAAATCTATTTACATTTAGTAGGTAATTATACTTATGCTATATTTACATTATACTAAGAATATTTAAGATAAAATAAGTCAAAGAGCTAGAAAAGATTCAAAAGTAAGCGTCTCGCGCTGCTTTGTTAAAAAGTATTTAAGAAAGTTTCTTTTAAAAATACTTGGACTATGACTTTTCTTTAAGTCACTGGTAATACTGTTCCAAGCCTTGATAGTCTTAACAGTAACAGTATCTTGGGCAATTTAAATTTAGTTTCGAGTACCTAGTGTTCCTATTATGAATATCACAATTTCTTATAAGTAGATCGTTAATATAAGTCGGTGCTAATCCGTTTATTCGTTTATAAACTAAAGTACAGCGGTTTATGTGGGCCTCGATGTAAAATGGCAGCCAGCCGAGCGTGTTAAGCAGATCCACAGAACAGGCTCTACGATCAGCATCCAATATTACTCTTGCAGCTCGTTTTTGCAATTTGAGCACTCATCAGGTCATCTTGTTTGCAGGAGCACCATACAATACTACCATAGAGTAAAACAGGTTTGATTATTGCAGAGTAATATATCTCACGTTGTTTTTGTTTCAAATATGGACATATATGGCGAAGAAGACCAACACGTTTCGATAACTTCTTGCATAGCTCATGGATTTGGGTGGTAAACGACAGGTCTTGATCCAAGCTAACACCGAGTAGTTTGTAACTGAGTACTTGTTCAGTTACAGCGTCATTTAGTTTAGCATCTATAGAGATGGAAAAGGTGCTGGTGTTATTTCGAATGCGTTTACCAGCGATTAACATTGACTTTGTTTTTGACGTGTTTATAACCATGCCATTTTCATTACACCATCTCTCTAAGCAGATCAAATCTTGGTTTATCATTCGAGTTAAAACAGGCAATTGGTCGATACTTGCACTTCTTAAAGTTGTGTCATCGGCATAAATTTCTACATTTGGGTCAGGCATATGAAGAGGCATATCGTGTATAAATGTAATGAACAACACCGGTCCGAGGATCGATCCTTGCGGTACTCCTTGTGATACCACTTGACAAGTGGATACACATTCATTTAATTTAACAAACTGTTTTCTGTCGGATAGATACGATGTAAACCAGGCAATTGATGATCCGTCTACCCCATAAATTGCAAGCTCTTTCAGCAGAGTTTTGTGATTTATAAGGTCGAAAGCCTTTTTAAAGTCAATAAATGTCAAACATGTAACCTTATCGTCATCCATGTTAAAAGGAGTTCATCGTCAAGGTTTATTAATGCTGTCTCTGTCGAGTAGTTAGCACGAAAACCTGACTGGAATTTATAGAGAAGGTTATGATCTTGGAGGTACTTGTAGAACGATGTGGCCACATGTTTTAACGCACTTTAAAGATAACAGGAAGTATCGAAATCGGACGGTAATTATCTGCATCATCACGAGATCCACTTTTATGTAGGGGTGTTACTTTCGCGGTTTTCCATTTGATAGGAGAAGTACCCGATGATATGGAGTAATTCATAAGGCGGCAAAAAGGTTGAGTCGATATCGGTGCTGCTAACTTTAGTATTCTAGCACTTAGGCCATCACAGCCAGTGGATTTGTTAGTTGGCATGCTATTCAACGCAGCCAGTACCTGTGTTGACGTAATCGTTGGTATTTCAAACAATCCTTACCAATCTTTAGCTTTAGGGACCGGTCATTATTTATGGCAGGGGTGGGGGCCGAAGAGAAAGTATAATGAAGCCGGAAAAAATTATTACCCCACCTTTTTCGAAACAAAATTTCTAGCTACCCCACCGGTGGAATGCCAGAAAAATTTTTTACCCCACCCAAACCTATTTTGTTGCAATGTCAAAGACAAAGGTTCAGACATAAAATATGTAATGAAACAGTTTAGTATTTTGTATGCGTATTACTCATCAAGGTACAAAATTGCCCTTGATGAGTAAGATCATCTGCTGTTAGAGAGTAAATAATAATTATTATACGGTGCTTTGACCACAGTGGACATTATAATTAAAAGGGAATATGATTGATTGGTAATACTTGTTTACCAATATCTCTTGCCCTTATTTCTTGTGGAGTAATTAAAGCACACTAACAGTCATGCCTTATTATGGGTTACCCTTACAATAGCAAGGTACTATATAAAGAATTATAGTTATCTGAAGGCTTAAAATTTGTCTACTTGTAAAATTGAAATATGAATGGGTTTTTATAGTTTCTATTCAACGCTATATTCCCTTTTCACGAGATAGTGCAATGCTAGTCCCATATACATATATTATCCATGCACTGATATAAAACCTGCACAGCATATATTTCAGTATTTTAGAACACTAACCGTATTTCACCACCCTATCTCTTTCCCACTTTAAAGTTTCACTGTATATAATTTGGTTTCTTTCACATTCTTGCATTTCTTTATAATTAATTAAAATGCAATTTTATTTTGAAACAGTTTCACAAAATATGTGCTCACCCATGATTGCAACTATCTAAATTCTAAAATTTCCTCTGAAATTCCTTTAACATTTCCTTACTATAGACAATCACATGTATTATCACGGAATTTTAAAGGAATTCCTTAAGAATTCCCAAGGAATTCTTGAAGTTTATGAAATCAATTTAATATTTTAATTTGTAAACAATACAACGATACTAAAGTATATGTCCCATGTGAGAATATCTGAATTTAGAAAATGATGTTACTGTAAATTAATGAGAAAGAGCTGCTGTTATACAGTGTGAAGATAAAGATATTCATCCGAATTCCAAGTATGATTATATAAACAATTAAATTAATTTGTAAAACGGGTAAATAGATTTCTCTTATTTTATTCATGTATACATGGTCTGCTAGTAAAGAAAAACAGCTAGTTGCCAAAGATTCAGAACAATGTTTGAGCTGAACATATTATGATCTAGCCATTGGAATGATTCTCCAGATCGATTCACAAGGGGCATGGGGCATATTTCATGATTTGCTACCTGAATTGTCCGCATGGTTTACAAGCACATACTGGATATAAATATTAGTTATACAGTATCAAATGTAGATGCCCAAAAATTAAATCCTGAAAATTTAATAGACTGTACATATACTTTTTGAGATATGTAATAAGGGGATGTTTATATGGGGGCGAGGCTGGATGCCCGGGGTTAGGGGCTACAGACTTAAGGTCGCTTTTCCTGAGGCAAGATCTCGGGCTAAAGGGGCGGGATCTCGCTTAGCTATAGCTGGGCCCACTCTTTACCCATATATACACAAGGTGAACTTTTAATAGTAAGAAATAACATTTACCCCACCTCTGCATGCAAGGATTTTTTGGCCACCCCACCTAAAGCAAGTATTATTTTTCAGTTACCCCACCATTTTCTCTTCGGCCCCCACCCCTGCCATAAATAATGACCGGTCCCTTACAAAATCGACTAATTTTTCCCCCATTAAATTCGGCATTATTTTGATTGTCAATCTGCAATGGTCAAGCCGAGCGTTACTCTGCTTTGAAAATCACGTACAGGTACGCTTACTTAAAACTGTGACACTGCAGAAGCCCAAAACATCTTTAAAAAATTTATATGTTTCACCTTTCAAAACTGATCATTTAATTTAGTTCAGCCAATGGCAGCGTCAAGGAGGAATGTAATGCATCCATTAGTATTTATTATAGGTAGTTCAAGCGTACTAATTTCCGAAGCATGAAGGGGCATGCATATCCGTTTAGTATCACGTCAGTAGTATCGCACTTATAATTATAGTCACCGTGGGAGACATTAGCGATAACAATTTTCAGAAGAGAATTTGAATTTTTGCAGAAAATTTCTCTAACTACCGTTGCTATGGCAACGGTGATCTTTCATCATGAAGAAGATATTTTGAAGTAATTTAACTTGAACGTGACCGTTAACTTTTTTTTTATTAACGACTTCTCTTAATGTATTGATTATTTTGACAATTAAAAATACATATTTAGCAAAAACAATTATTAGCGATAACCACACCTACCTAAATGCTTTGGGCCAACGATAATTCAATAGTCAAGATAATTCAATAATATGCTATGCTAAGAGAAGTCATTTTGCAACATAAAATTGGGGTCTCAAAGAATGAATTACCCAGGGGACACGCGCAGGTGCAGTACAGACTCTGGAGACTGTAAAAGTGTGAGTAGAGCCCTAAAATCCACCTTTCGCTCAGTTCTTTCGGTTGGCCAAGCGAAACGCTAGATCCGTTACTGAACTTGTGGATAACTTGGTTTCTAACTCATTCCATAGCATCATTGAAATCTTTGTAAGTGAATGTAAAGACATTTCTAAAACGAAGCCAAAATGGTCAAACACGATAACATGGTTTGCTCAGAAAACGGCCATTCGCTCTAACGTGCGCATGTTATCTGGGCTATGTTAGCCAATTAGCTATTGCTGGACATGCTGAACTAAACGTTGTCAGCAGTGATAAATTGGCTATTCAACCCGGATTTTTGAGGGTGCGTAAAGGTGCTGAGGGTGCGCTAATTAATATTTATACAAATGAGGGTGAGTGAGATAATTAATATTCATTATTATGAGAGGGAGTGAGGGTGCGTTCAATAAATATTCAGTAAATATGAGTAAATACTAATTTGTATACAAGTGAGGGTGCGCACGCATGACGTCATAATCATTTACAAGGCGAGCCTGGTCAAGAAAGTCATTAAGCTGAGGTCAGCTTTTTTATCTCCATTTCATTCGCTTTTTAATTAGCGTCCCACGAAATTCGTTTTAATTCTTTTAATGAATTTAGTGGCTCTTAAAGGGGTCGTTATGAATAATAAATTTACAAGAATAAATAAAAATGGAGAAATATTTTAAACACAACTTAGCAGTTGCTAAACCCAAGTTAACATGGTTGTCAACGCCGTTCTTATGGTTAATATTTGCATATTACAGAGTCATTAAATGTGATTAACCCGGCCACCCATGTGAATACATTTATATACTAGTATACGTTGTGGGTTTTGCGAGATATATATATACATATATACGTATTGAAATTTTGTCTTTTGTGGATATCGAAAACGTATAACGCCAAAGTCATTAACGTCGTTAAAGGATTACAACCTAAAATTTAATTTCTTATGTGTTGATTATTTATTACGCAGGCGTAGACCTTAAAATCGGGCGCGTGGCTTTGCGATCATAAAATTGCACAAGAATTTGGATTTAAAACACATTTATTACTTCAAAACGTTTTACAAGGTTTAGGACGGTCTATGTCTAAGAGTGTATCGTTTAGGTGTCTTTTCTAGAGCGATGGATTCTAATTCCTTAGGTCTTTGATTCGAACCCAGCTCGCAAAATTTAAAATGCAGACATTCTTTTTGGCGGGTGGGAAAATTTCTATGTAGCTCGGAGCCTAGCTCGAAATATCAAACCTTGCTCGGAGCGCAGTCTAAATAGCTCGGTACCAAGCTCGATATACTTGGAGCCACAATTAATATCTCGGAACAGAGCTCTGAACAGAGCTCTGAATAACTCGCAGCTACTCGAATATTTCGGAGCCGAGCTCTCAATAGTTCGGAGCCATTCGAATTAGCTCGGAGACGAGCCATCGATAGCTCGAAGCCACACTAAATGGCTCGGAGCCGAGCTCCATTCAATCTTAGGATTCAATAATTCAATCTAGGATTTAATGATTCAATCTAGGATTCAATGATTCAATCTAGGACTCAATGATTCAATTTTTGGATTCAATAATTCAATCTTAGGATTCAATGATTCAATCTTAGGATGCAATTATTCAATCTTAGGATTTCATGATTCAATCTTAGGATTTAATGATTCAATCTTAGGATTCAATAATTCATTCTTAGGATTCAGTTATTCAATTCAGGATTCAATGATTCACTCTCAGGATTCAATTAGTCAATCTTGGGATTTCATGATTCAATCTTAGGACTTAATTAATCATTCTTAGGATTCAATAATTCAATCTTAGGATTTAGTGATTCAATCTGGGATTCAATGATTCAATCTCAGGATTCAATTAGTCAATCTTAGGATTTCATGATTCAATCTTAGGATTTAATTATTCAATCTTAGGATTCAATAATTCAATCTTAGGATTCAGTGATTCAATCTAGGATTCAATGATTCAATTTTAGGATTCAATAATTCAATCTAGAATTTAATGATTCAATCTAGGATTCAATAATTCAATCTAGGATTCAATGATTCAATTTTAGGACTCAATTATTCAATCT